CGTTCTACCTGCTTTTTCACCTAAATTTAACATCCACGCATACGGTGGACTAGAATGAAAACTGCTGATGAGCCCTAGATTCATCGAATTTCGTGTCCGATTATTTCTTTAAATTTCAATCCCTCTTGTACAATTAGCAAATCAAACAATCACACGTTCATTTCAGTCCTTTGTTTCATACCTTTGTCTCGGTCCACAGATGAGTCACAAAGTGTCGACGCTGGTCTGAAACTGGCAATACCTGCTTAATGCTCAGTACTGTACGCCAAGGCAAGGTGACAAAAAATTGCACTAGCAACGAAATGCTGTAAAACGGACGCGAAACAGCGCAGGCATCCGTCTTACACCGACAAACGATGACGGTCGTTTCCTATCCTGTGGGTCAGCAGTCGTCCATTTATCATCATGGCCGTTACGCCAGACAAAAACGTCAGATCTACAATCTACAGTTGGCATGTCAGCCGAGCACCACCGGCAGAAGAACAAGAACAGGACAAAGTATCACTCATATCCCTAACTCATATTAGTACCGCAGCTGCAAAACGCTTAACTCGTTCACAAGCGTAAGGGACATTGGCACCTGGTTCATCACCATGACTTCAATTTCGACCAATGGCGGTGGCAAAAACTGTGATGGGAAATCGATGTCTGAATGGTGAAAATCCTACCAATCTTCTTAGCTATATTTCAGATTGCTCCTCCTTTGTCGCGTCATGCTTCTCCCTTTTCTTTTTTTCCATTCTTAATATTCATTTTTATCACCATCATCTTTCTCATTTTTCTTCTTTTCATTATCCTTTTTTTATCCATTTCTTCGTTTTATTTGCATTCTTCATCACCATCTTTCCCTCGCTTTTCTTTTACCTCTGCCGCTTCTTCTTTTCCTTTATAATATTTTCTGTCTGTTCACTTACAAAACTTCCTTTCGACGTAAAACCCAGATTCAAATACAGAATTTGAATACAAAAAATCATCAATACGTCAACGTGTTCCTCTGGCCAGGGGAAGGGGAGGCAGCTAGCATGTTGCACTACTTCACTGCACTGTTTCGGGTCTCGAGTTATTGGTGTGGTGTCAACAATAATCGTATCTACCGCAGTCTCAT